TCCCAGTTGTGTACAATACAGATACCACCTCCTCCCCTTTAGACCAAATGTAGCCGTTTGTTTCAACTTTTTGACTCGACTGCAAAACTTTGCCTATGATTAAATAAGTTTGCTGCAACACACCATGATAATTATTTCCATGCAGACTTTTTGCGGCGTCTCTTTTTCTCCAACAAATTGTTCCGAAATCATAGTAAACTAATTTTTCAATAGAAATTCGTGAATGAGACTTTTTAATCAAAACATGAGATATCACTTGTATTAAAATTACATTGATATTGCCATAGTGCTTCATACGAGTTCGAGCATGTTTTGTTGTAAAAAAAGAAATATCATCAGCAATATGTGCTCTGAATATCTTTTCGTTCTAAAATTCCACACGCTCATTCGTTGTTAATCCCTTTTACTCACGCAATTTGTTTACGCTCGAATTATATTAACGGACGTGAATGACGTATCTGAGCGTCCGAGCACCATCATCTTCGTTCGGCGTTCATTATTATTTATATACGTATATCGAAAAATTTTCTCTCATCGAAAAATATTTTTAAACTAGCTCTCTTGTACGTTCGTTTCAGCTCTCGACATGCAGTAGCAGCTTTGCACAAGACGTCAGAGCCGTACCACAGCAACAGCAAAACATCGATATTGAGAATATCGCAAAAGGGAGTCGTGCGACTGTGTGTGGCGCGCGCGCGTATATTGAAAAATAAAAATAAAATGTCGTCGTACTATGTTGTATACACGTTGCACAGTAGCAGCAGCGGCAGTTGCTATTACTGCAGATGTGAATAAAAAGAAGCACTGCGCCAGGGGCACGAGGTATACGCGCGTCGGGTTTTGGCTCGAGTAAAAATAATTCGTTAAGGTTTTTTTTTCACTTCTTATACATGGGAAGTATTGCGCTATTATGTAAGCTCAGCGCTCGCCCGCGCCTCGAAAGGACTACTCAAAATAATGGAATAAAAAAGAAGAGTTGAAGGAAGAATAACTTTTCTTTTCGTGAGGCGGTCTTAATGCTTATTTTCAGGACGCATTAATCGAATTACTTTTAATAATACTTGGACAATATAAACGGGATTTTACATTGTTGGTGAAAAATATAATCGCTTTCGGATACTTGATCTTCTTCAGAACTATATATTCGATCTTTTACAATCAAGTAATGGACGCACCTATCATTTATAAGGGCACAATTTTTACCGACCGAGTACAGAAAATGTGTATTTTCACTGAGAAAAAGATTTGTTTAAGCCAATTAAATATATTTTATTGAAAAAAATTTAATTGAGGTAACAAAATTGTATTTGAACCAATTAATTATTTTCTAAATCCAAAGAAATATTTATGTATGTCAATTAAATCATTTAATTTTTGGATTCAACAAAATATTTATTTATTATGAATAAATATTAAGTAGTTTTAAAAAACTCGTTTAATTGACTCAAAAAAATCGGTTTAATTGTTCACCCACATGAATTTCAATAACATATTTATTTGTTCGAAATAAATATTTTATTGAAATCAAGTAGTTTTCATTTAATAGATATTATTAAATATTTTTTTTTTATTATAATTACTTATTTGATTGAAGAAATCAAATATATTATCGGTTTAATGTTATGATAATATATTCGCAAAAAAATATTTTGTTGAGTATGATGAAATAAATTAAACATAATGAAAAAAATTTTTAGTTTAAACAATTAAATATTTTTCGAAATCAACTAATTTTCATGTAATAAATATTATTCAATATTTATCGTAATTATCATAATTATTTTTTCGTTCAACCGTCAATGTGTATACTATACGCCGTATAGGATAGATGTATGTAATAATTTAAGGCGAGTTTAAAAATATACTTAATAAAATAACCGTAAAATTTCTCTTGTAAAAAGCAATTCTAAACTTTACACAGAGCTTCATCTAAGAAGTTGAATATCATTAGTTTCCAATATTGCATTTTTTTAATATTCAGATTTAATTGAAATAATTAAATATTTATTCGATTTTCAATTAAATATTAAATTATTTTAGTTTTGATCCTTTACCTACATGGCGCATTTCCCACACCCTTAAGTGACAAGAAAATGTTCGAGATTGCTATATAAGACAGAAATATTCGTAATGATAGTATGCGATTGACTACTGCGAGCGAACTGTTATCCAAGCGTTAGAATTAAGCGACAGTCTCATGTGTTGAAGTAGGTAGAAATTAATGTATTATTCCATAGTTATTAAGATTGTTCAATAATTATGTAATAAACTAATTAATATACAACATACATACGATGTGATCATATGATAACTTAAACTAAATATTTCGCTATCAAATATACCACACTATTTTAAAGACATCACTTCAAGTTATTTTTCAATAATGTATTAGATTCACCAGTATATTTCAATGAACATAACCAAATATTTTTTCGCAGCATCAAATTAATAAATCAAATCTAATACATATTTATTTGAATTAATGAAATACATTTTTGCATTCAAAAAAATATTACATTCGATCAAGTAAATATTTGTTCGAAGTAATGCAATTATATTCTTAAGGCAATACCAAGGCCTTATTTTTTATCGACTGAGCCCCGAAAATCAAACTAATTCTATCTTTTTTCGTGTTCTGAATTTCGAAAAATGATTCTATGGTGCTCTCTATTTTATTTCTCTGAACAGCTGGTGTATACTTCCACACTTTTCATAGAGCGGTTTCCCAGGAAAATGGGATAAAAATTTTCGATCCTATTTTTCTCGGTTCTTCTATTCTATTGTTACTCTGTCGGTAAAAATGAGGCTTCGGCATCGCCTTAAGACTTTAAAAGTTTTTTCCTTTACTCAATATCAAAGTCGTCACAAAATCAATCGTCAAAGTAAATTTCGAATCTTGTGCATGAATAAATAATACACAATATTTATGTATTTACATATTTTCATCGAAACGTGAAAATCTTTCATGTCTTCGATACAATTGTAGAAATTCGATAAATCATTCAAGACAGCGTTGCAATTCTTTTAATCTTCTTTCTTTCTTCACTTTTTCGAATTTGACAAAATCGTGTACGCGACAAAAAGAGTTTGTGTATAAAAACGAAAAGTTGTCAGTTTGGTAAAGTCAAGCTTTGGGCGTTGTGCGACAAAAGTTAGACGAGAGTAGCATACGCGCAGCAAGAGAAAAGCAAGAAAAAAGGATTTTCTTTTCCCACTCGCTTTTTATCTCTCTCTCTCTCTCTCTCTTTCTCTTTCCATCTTGAACATTTGTGCACAGTCTTGGAATACCGAAGTTCAAAAACTCCTGAAATGACCGTAAAAAGGTCTCGAACGCGCAAGTACGTACGTATGTATATCGATCGAAAGCACACGGGTATTGTTTGAATATTCGAGCTATCGAAGATATGTAGTTCTCCTTGGCGGTAGAACATGGCACCGCAAGCTTTGTTCGCAAATGCAGGCACACACGCAGCGATGCGTACGACTTGTGACGTGCAGCCAAGTTCGGCCGGGTATATCAACGAATTGCGCATACTGACGATGAACTCATGCTAATTATTGAGGCAAAGTATATGCGCCAGCAGTAATTGTCAATCGATTACAGATACTTGTGTGATAAACGATAAGCAACATCTTCTTTCTATAGTTTCCAAGATAAATTCTGATTCTAATGTTAATAAAATTATCTTATTTTTTACATACTTGAGTTTATTCGAATATACTTTATGCAAAAGTATAGCGAAAAATGCCTGCACTGTGTGGCACAAGTTCACATTTATGGCACGCTTTTCTGGGCCAATCACACTCGCATAGTAAGACTTGTGACTCAAAAAAGGGGGCATAAATGTGAGCTTAGTTTCAAGTGTTACTCACAGCCCTTATATCGTAAAGTACTATTTTCCCGCACTTTTTATTGCGCAAAAAGCGTTTTTGAACACTAGTGTGCGGTAAAATGCCTCGTTTTTGTACGTAATATCATACTTTTATGAAAGTATTTTTTGCTTACTTTGTAACGTATCAAACTTCGCAATTTCTCATTTACCACATTTGCTCTACGCAAAGTGAGATGTGATCAAAAGCTCCATTTACTTAGGGATGCATATTATAACATACCTGAATACTTGCACAATGAGCACATAATACGCTAAAATATACTGATTCAATGCATGTTCCAATGGTAATGTGTAGACTTTGTATCCGAGAAGAAATTTCGCCAAACAATATTACTCATGGACTCTTTCATGTATAAGTGAAAAAATAAAATAAAAAAAACTGATCAAGCGAAGCGAAGTCAAGAAAACGTAAAACATGAAAGAAAGAAAAGATCTTGTGAATCTTGACTGAAAAAAGGAGATTTGGAAAGCACTCAAAGAGTTTCCGAAGAAAATTATAAACGGTAAACAATAAAATAACGATTGACGTACGCAACGTGCATGGCTAATTATTCTAATCGGTAAGATTTCAACTCAAACTACAGTGAATCAATTTTTTTTTTAATGCGAAAAAGTCTTTCTGTTTTTTTTGGTTCCGATCGATTTTTTGTTTCACGCACAAACGTTAAAAATCTGCTCGGTATAAATCCGCCAGTTTAGAAATATAAGGGCTAGATAAAATCGCAGCAGAACGTTTTTCAAAGGTTCAGAGCCAAAGTGCACGATTGCTGGTGTTATTTGAATCTTCCGAAGGCAGGGCAAGGTAGAAAATAGATTTAAAAAAAATTTTTTTTTTAATTGAAAAATAAACGATGATAATGTTTATTTATCGCAAAAATAACCCCATATTTTAAAAGTGCACACCAAAAAACCTGTACCTACAGATTTTTACAAAAAGATTTCAACTTTATCTATTTTATACAATGGAAAATTCATGCACGAAATTGCACTTTTGCGCATTAATAATGGGTTAGTGGAATATGCTACAAACTGTCGTATTTTCGAAGCACACAATATCCTCCGGTATAAAAATAGGAAATAAATTTTAACTCGAGAGAAAATACTCACCATCGTCGGCATTGAGAGAAGTTTGCTGGGCCATAGTGGCGCCGCAGGCCTGCGGCATTGACGGTGGCTTTTTCGATGGCGAAGTCTTGCAAGCAGCTGCCGGTGGCTGTTTAAGTGCGCTCGTTGGCACTAAACCTTCAGCCGGGGGCTCGCTTTGCCCCGGCGTCTGGGCCAATCTCACCAGAGTCCATTCGACACCACTTCCGCTGCCGCCGTTTTCCAGCACCTCGACCTGCTGTCCCTTGCTGACGCTGAGTTCGCGCGAGCCCGGAGCTGCCGAGTGATCTGCCACGACCCACGTCATTTCTGTTACCGCCGTCTGTAAAGCGAAAATACGTAAAAGGATTGAATTATATTGATTTGCGGTTCGATGTTCTCAGCGCAACTTTAATGCCGCAATTCAACTTTAACGACCAACATTTTCCCTTGTTTGCTTGAATTAGTACTCGAGCTACCTGGGGAGGCAAATTTGCATGGAAAGCGCAAAACGTCACGTCGATAATAAGCGACGATTAATCTAAATTAATAGCCAAGCTAGACTTGTGAATTACCACTGCTTTAAGGACTTAATAACTATGGAGTTTTCCCCGCAACTGTCTCGATGCGGGTTAGCATGAGAAGATAATTGTTGTTGCCGCATTCTACGTATGTATTGACTTAACAAAAGTTTAACACAATCAGGCAGCTAAAAGGGCGCACTATATAAGTACCCGTTTTCACGCAATAATCAATCGTTTCCATTTTTATTTCTAGATAATCAATAATGGCAAGATATACACGTAAGGGTCAACGTATTTCCATGCTTGTTAAGGGTAATTTATTGTTTAGTTTTGTTTATGTAATGCGGAGAGGGCATATGCACAAGTAGTCAATTTATTCCAACAAGTTGAGTCTGAGAAAATTCCATTCATGCGCTTATGCCGAGTATTGGCAATACTTAGGAGGGAAAAAGCTCAAAAGCGAACAAATGATGTCTTGAGGGCTGGGGAGTATGAATCGGGTCCACGCTCGGAAGGTTGTAAAACAGTTTGTTCGTCGTAAGAAGTTTCTCACGCGAGCGCATAAGCTGACTCTTCCATTCCGTGACACCAAAAGTCTCGAAATGTATATTGTAGAGCTTGATCGCAAGGTGCACAATAAAAGTTGTTACGCACGCACGCATCGCTAAATTTGCCACACTTTAGGAAAACTTGGCATTCACTTGAATAATGCATCTTTCTTTCTCTCTTTCTCGTCGTCTCTCTATATGAAAGGTCTTAAAAAGTGATGCAACGCGTGTTGCTATACCTACGGGCCCAGGTACATATATGCGCGCAGCCGTGTACGAGCGAGGATTTAATAACTTTTGCTTTGCACGTCGTCGTCACTCGCAGACAACGCGTACGCAGCAGCTCGAGTAACCATATAAGCCAGCTATGCGCGTTTACAATAAAGGACTACAATGTGTTATTAGAATGCTGAGCTTGTGCTCTAGCTGGAGCAGCAGCAGCGCACATCTTTCCGCGAATAGTTTCAACGTTAAATCGAGCTTCTCGAGCTTACATAAGCTTTTGTGCACGCGGATCATCATTGAGCAACTGAATGGGGATTTTCTTTCGAATTTTCCTCGGTGGATATATGCGCCCGATAGAATTAATTAAAAAGTCTCGTCAAGAAACTGGTGATACCGAGGGAAGAGGCAACTCCAGCATTTACTCATGCGGTGTACCAACAAACTTCCTCGTGACAGCTCGAAAATGGAGAAACCGAGCATTTTCTCGTTTCATATGCGTAGCCTTAATTCGAACACAAATGTATACCATGAACCCGAATATTTCGTTTTTCTCCGCTAAAACTTTAAAATATTAATTGTGCTTTACTGATAAAGTTCACAAAAATCTCCGAGACCTACTGACATCCAAACTTAGACTAGCTTTTTTGATCGATCTTTAAAAACGTTATACCCTTTAAATACTAATATAATAAGAAAAATGAAAACATTTCTACGTCAAGTGCAAGGGAAGAAAAGTTTTTCCGCGACGTGCGCCATCTTACTTATTTCGTAATTGTTTTATTTTGAGTTTCCAGCGTGCTCTCTTCAAAGCAATTCAAAGATCAGTTTTAATTACTATAGTGAACTTCTTCTCCATTCAACTTCTCAGCTTTAATGAAAAGCGCCTCTATACACGCGCGCTCGTCTTAATGACTCATTGCTACGCCAGAGATAGAGGCTGAAAGAGCAAAAGGGAGAGGTAGAAAGAGAGAGAGAGAACAGAGAGCGATGCAGATGAGTGACACAAGAAAGCGAGAGAGTGTGCGTATGTGCGAATTGAAATACCTTGATACTTTCGACAGGGCCTAATGGGCAAATGCGATACATAACGTTACATTGAATTTCGATTTGACCTCTTTATTGTCTATTCCAATTGCGGTCATAAGAGCGCCTCTCGTTTGTTCGCCCATATATACACGAGAAAGGGTCGAATGTGTGCTCGAGCGATAAGAGCAGTCGCTCTGTGTTACTCGATACACAATGCTGTCTGCAGCTGATGCACATACTCGGACGCACACCCACGCACACACACAAGAGCTGCATAGGCTCTTCTCTCATACTGGACATATTTGAGGGTAATAAGAGGCTTCTAGTAGCGCTGGATCCAACCTTTCACGCGACTATTCCGTTTGTGTCGCGTTAAGCAAACACGCGTATGAATCGACCCTATTTATCTTTATTTCCAAGGCATCTCTAATCGATGTATTAATTTACATTTTTTACATCGGATTCTATTCAAAGTTATTTTTCTCTCTTATATATAGTTCAACTCGTGTGCACAGGCACATACGTACAAAGTTCATTTTTAAATCTCATGCATAAACACGCTTGGGTTTAATGCGTTTGCCGGTGTGTGCGCCTACACGCGAACGAGCATACAAACTACAAGCCAGTGACAAGTCGCTTGACATTTTATTTAATTAAAATACAAAGTACGCCGCACGTACACCAACACTACTATTACTACTACAACGTGGCCACTTATACATCGCTGAGTTTGACACTGTGGCAATTTACTCACTGAAACGCGTTGCACATACACATACAGACACAAAAACATTTACTGCACCTATTTACAGTATAGTGTACAAGTAGGTGAAAGAGTAATGTATTTTTCGAGTATAAACATCTAAAAGTATGAATATATGCAGACTCGTAAGAATACACCCGCGATCCATGCTTATGTAATATGCACGCATGAATACTGCGACATGGTAGATGCACAAGTAAGAAAGACCCGAAGTAGCACATGCTGCGTTCAATATTTTATGAAATATACGAATTCGAAGTAGAAAAAAATTCGTAGAAAAAAAAATATTGCGCACGCACGTTTTCGAATATGTGATTGGAGAATATTTTTCTCGACGCAGATAAAGCGATGCGACATGATGCCCGGACACGTATTAGGCGAGAAAATAAGGCAAATAATAACAGTGGCTGTCTTTTTTGCGTTACTTGATGAAGAGAGAAGCGCGTATGCTTGTCCTTGAACAGTGCCACTGATTGGATTCATCCACTGCTATGGTACACAGATTTTTCAGTGCCACGCGTGGCGCGAAGAGCATGCATACGAGTATACGTGTTACACTCACACATGCACGATCAGCTTTTGCTCGGTCAACGCTTATTTAAGCAGTCGCGTGTCCCGGTTTTCATCGCGCACGTATACTACGTGAGTATGTGTCTGTGTGCTTAAGAGTAGAGCAGTAAAACTCACCGAGGCATAAGTAATGCATCAATCCATGCTCCGTTGGACCAAGAATTCAAAGACGACCCTGTGTCTACACCTCTCATACTCCACCGTCAGCTCACCTATTCCTTTTCTTATCCAAATTGTATTTATGTATTTATGTTTTTCTCGCTTTCTTTCTCTCTCCCTATTCTTATTTTTTCCATTTCTTCATTACGTCTATGATCTATAATCAACAAATAGACCACAGAGTGTTCGAAGATGAATGCGATATTTCACCACTCGAAATTTCGGTTATTTTTCTCCCTTGGCAAGAACTAGACTATTATTCTCGAGGCGTTAATTTAATTTCCGCAAGCTCGGATCTTGAGTTTTTTTCACGCCTTTTGTTTCTCGCACTACAGTTACGTAGAGGTTCATGATTCTTTATGAATCTATGGCAAGATTTCACTTTTATTTATACTTTTTTTCTTTCACAGAAAAACGGAAGAAAAAGAAAGTAGAGGCGCGCTTAGAAGACAAAGGACTAATCCAAGCAAAAGAAATCTGCACGTAGGATTGTATCTGTCCAGCACAGGTTTGATAATTTTTTTAAGCTTTTTCTCGCAACTTGTGCTGCATTGCACTGCACGCATCCTGTCAGTTTTGCGTTTAAAATGTTATCGATCCGTTTCGGCCAGGTAAGTCAATTATTGAGCCATTGGTGTTTGTTGCTGCAAACAATATTGAGACGAGAATCTGAAGCTTTTCTAGCTTTCTGAGCAGCATCAGCACTACGGAAGCATACAAAGTTGTATTTACACAACTTTGGTAGAGGATTAACACTTGAGTTTAGATTTTCCTTTTCCGCAACACGTCAATGTTTTGAAGATTAAAATATTCAAGCGTCCAGAATCATGTTTCGCTCATTCTACGTAGCGAGCTTAGCATTCCGTTATGAACATTTTTACGGCGCGCATCTTACAAAATATACATCCTGCGGAACTTTATCGCGATGGTAAAATTCAAAATATTCTTCTCGGAATTTGCGCTGCCAGCTAGCGGCAGACGTGCTCGCGCGCTGATTTACGTCGAAAGAAACATTTTATCGAACTAAACCCTTCGTGTGTATATACCGTGTATATGCATAAGTGTGTGGGTGCGAGCGCGAGTCGACGATGCACGATATGCGTGTGTGTGTGTGTGTGTGTGTGTGTGTGTGTGTGTGTGTGTGTGTGTATTTGTGCTGCTATCAGCAGTGTAAGGACATTTAAAAGAATATGTAGGTACATAATAATACTGGGGTTTCCGCATGAAAAATCCCTCGGATGTAGGTCAGGATAACATTGTAACGCCGCTACAACTGCCGCGCAGCTACATAGCTGATCGCCAACTTTTTTTTCAACTATTAACCTCTGTGCATATGTGTATGTACCTATGTGTACGTATGACTACACACGTGAAGAGTAAGCGAAAATGTCATCTTTCTCTCGATGTTGCGCGGAAAAGGTCGCGTCCAACTTTCCGAAAGCCCGATATATATCTCGTACACATTTCATGAGCGACCGATGGAAATATTTAACTGGTGCACGAGCACGTGTGTAATCGTATACCCGGG